GCTAGGGAAAGTAGCACATGAATTGTGGTCAATCTAGCAACAGGTGAGTAAGTGTCAAAGAAATCTCCGTCTTCTTTCTGAGTATAGCCTTTAGCAACAAGCCGAGCCTTGTACTTTTCAATAGTATCGTCAGGCCTAAGCTTCTTCTTGAACACCCATTTGCACCCCACAGGTTTACACCCATAGGGTCGCTCTGTCACCTCCCAAGTACCATTAGCGATAATGGAATCCATTTCATTACGGACAGCCTTCTTCCAGTAGTCTGCATCAGGAGATGCATATGCTTCTGAAATTGACTTAGGAGTGTCATCCACGAGGTACACAGTGAAATCATCACCAAAGGACTTAGCCGTCCTTTGTCTCTTACTCCTTCGAGGAGCTTCACTGACATCCTCCTCAGTGACATGTTCATGTGTATGTTCAGTTTGTTCTGGTGGTGTGATTGAACTGGGAATTACTTCAGAGGGTTGGCTCGAACTACTATGTGTATCCTTCATTGGGAAAAAGCTCTTAAAGAAGGTAGCATCACGAGACTCTATAATTGTACCAACATGCATGTCAGGTACCTCAGATTTAAGTATTAAAAATCTATAGGCAGTGATGTAATGAGCATACCCTAGAAAGACACAGTCCACAGTCTTATGTCCCAGTTTGCGCTTCTTCGTTATTGGTACATTGACTTTCGCCAAGCACCCCCATGTGCGCAAATAAGAAAGTGATGGTTTTCTCCCAATCCATATCTCATATGGTGTTTTGTCCTTATTTCTGTTAGGAACTCTGTTTAACACATGATTCGAGGTCAACAATGACTCCCCCCACCATGCCTTAGGTAGTCCCGCGGTGTCCAATATGGCATTCACCAAGTCAGTCAGTGTGCGGTTCTTCCTTTCAGCAATCCCATTAGACTCGGGAGAATAGGGAGGCGTCCTCTCATGTATGATGCCATGTTCCTCACAGAATAAGTCAAACTCGTTTGAGAAAAACTCTCCACCACGATCAGACCTAAGCCTTTTTATCTTTCTGTCAAGTTGATTTTCAACTTCTGCTATCTAAATTTTAAAATAATCTAGAGCCTCGTCTTTCGTTTTCAACAAGTACACATAGCAAAATCTAGTAGCATCATCAATTAACGTCATGAAATATCGTTTTCCACCCTTCGTCAACACCCCATTTATTTCACAAAGATCTGAATGTAGGAGTTCTAGTGGTGCCAAGTTTCTCTCCTCGACAGCCTTGTGAGGCTTGCGAGGTTGCTTTGATTGCACACAACTATGGCACTTAGAACCTTTGACAATAGAAAACTTAGGAATTAAACACATGCTGGAAAGCCGAGACATCAAGCCAAAATTAATATGACATAAACATGAGTGCCAAACATTAGCCTCATCATCCACACTGCCACAAATATGGTTCACAGACTTATTGCATAAATCAGAAAGGGAAAAGCGGAACATGCCTCCGCACTCATAACCTTTACCAATAAAATATCCATGTTTAGACACGACTACTTTATTAGACTCAAAAACCAACTTAAATCCGTCTCTAGTCAGACGAGAGCCACTAACAAGATTCCTGTCGATTGAAGGGACATGATGCACGTTCTTCAGCTGCACGATCTTTTCCGAAGTAAACTTCAGATCTACCGTGCCAACACCATGAACAGAAGCATGTGACCCATTCCCCATTAGGACGGTGGAACCCCGTGCGACCTGATAAGAAGAAAACAATGAGATGCCAGCACAAACATGTACATTGGCCCCAGTATCAACCCACCAATTAGTAGACTGATTAACTGAAAAAATAGTAGGTAAATTACCATACACGCTTCTATCTCCAGTGTTGCCAATAGTCACATTAGCAGACTTAGAAGTCTGCCCTACAGGTGCCTTCATCCCCTTGCGCTGTGGACACTTCCTAGCCAGATGACCAGGTTGCCTACACACAAAGCAAGTTCTCTCATCCTGGTTAGGATTGTTGTTGTTCTTCTTCTGCTTCTTGAAGTTGGTGGTCTGTTGAGCTTTGTATTTCCCCTTGCTCTTGTTCTGGGCCTGTGCAAAATATTGGCACTGGACTGCCCACCATCGCCCTTAGACGCGGCGTGTTTTTCCCGAGCTTTCTCCTCAACATCAAGAGACGCTATCAACCCCTCAACGGAGTATTCCTGTCTCTTGTGTTTGAGTGCAGTACTAAAACTTCTCCATGATGGAGGTAGTTTCGCAATAATACACCCGGCTACAAATTTATCGGGTAAGACACACTTAAGGAGTTCGAGTTCCTTAGCCATGGTTTGTATCTCATGAGCCTGTTCGACTACAGAACGGTTGTCAGCCATCTTGTAGTCATGAAACTGCTCCATGATATACAGATCATTGCTAGCATCAGTACAACCGAATTTAGTATTCAATGCATTCCACAACTCCTTAGCGTCGGTCATATGCATATACACCTCGACCAGACGATCGCCAAGAACGCTAAGAATACATTCCACAAAGAGAGTAGTGGCTTACTCGAATTGCTTCTGCTGATCAGTAGTAAGAATTCCTTCAGGTTTGCCAGTATTCACCCAGAAGCATTTCATAGCCGTCAGCCACAGAGTGACCCTGATCTGCCATCTCTTAAACTACACACCGGTGAATTTATCCAGCCTCAGTGCATCGGCAAAACCAGCCATAGTAAAATCACAGCGCCTATAATAAGGTTTTTGGATTGTTGAAATTATAAGCACATAATGATTTAATTTATTCCATAAATAAATCATGACATTGCAGATGTAAACTATATTAAACGCACCATTAGATCTACACATGTAAACTAAGCAGTAAAACATGAACAGATCAAATATGCGCAACATGTCGAACACGTACCGAGGTGGTAGAAAGACCGGTTGCTCAGCATGAACTACTTGCGGTTGCGAGCGTCGACGAAGGCGTGAAGCACGCGAGCGGAGAGGAAGGCGAGCCGTCGCGGACGAATAGGGAGCAGTCGCGCGAAGCGCTTCCTAAAAACCTTATTGCCGCCTTCTCCCGGTGCAGGACGTCGAAGGCAGAGGTTCCAGAGACCTGCTCTCCCGATCACTGGTGCACGCCGGCGAGCGGGATGGAGTAGTCTACGAGCGACGGCGCAGTACAGAGTAGGAGGCAAACCCTAGATTGATTTCGCGTGTGTTGCGTGAAGGTGGCGGCTCGGTTTATATAGAGATAGGTCGCCTGATTAGGGCGCCCGCGTAAACCGAACCGGATAAGTCGGGCGTAACCTATCCGGACTTCACGCCGTTTGCACGCACCGGATTTTTCGGAGTGTTTCCAAAACAAAACAAATCCGAATTTCCTGCAGCAAACCAAAACTGCAAAAGGAGGCTGCAACTGCGCAAGGGTGAGGAGCCAATTTTGCGGACCATTCGACGCGTATGTCGTGCACGCGCGCCGCCTGCCAGGCGAGGCGAGCGAGCGCGCGCGTGTTTCCCCTCTTCTCTCCACCACACATGCTTTAAGTGGCTAGGAGAGCATCTTCTCTTTTAAGGAGGTCCCCCTCTCCTAGAATAAGTAAGGTAGTACTAAACTCCACATGCATGCTATCCCATGAGGTGGGTTTTTGTGATATTTCAAAGAATTAATTTTCGAATAGGCCTTAGCCCATCTATTAATTCCAATATTAATTCCAACAGTAATAAGCTAGCTGATGCTATAGCATCGATCGGATGTAACAGTCCCCAAAACACCGATCTCCTTTGGGACAGTGCACCTCCGGGTGTTGAGGGTTTGGTCGCCAGTGATTCTGCCGCGTCCATGGGTTAATGGAAACATGAAGTCTTCTTTAAAAAAAACTATTGGGTTAATCGGTACGCACCCATATGTCCATCTCACTCCCACCTCTAGTCGAGATCCCATTTGATTTAGATTATTGAATGGACCATTTACTTGAATATTGGGATATATTAAGTATTTTAAGAGATAATCTTAACAAATAGCTTACAACAAATGACCTAAGCAAGCAGTAAAATTTCTGTTAAGAAAATGTATTTTTTGAAGTGGAGGCTAGAGAGCAAACATATATCCGGTTGGATGTAGAGGCCGGGTAAAAAAAAAAGTTATTACTGCTTATCTTTTTCACCGTATGTCTCTGGGTAAAAAAAAAAACTTCTCTTAAAAAAGTGTTATCGCTGCTTATCATTTTCACCGTATGTCTCTGAGTAAAAAAAAAACCTTCTCTAAAAAATCCGGTTGGATGTAGAGGCCGGGTAAAAAAATACCCTTCTCCAGAAAAAGTATTATTGCTGCTTATCTTTTTCACCGTATGTCTCTGGGTAAAACAAAAAACCCCTTCTTTAAAAAAATTCGGTTGGATATAGAGACCGGGTAAAATAAATAAAAAACCCTTCTCTTAAAAAAAGTGATTTGCTACTTATCTTTTTCACCGTATGTGTTAGGTTAAAAAAAAACCCCTTCTCTAAAACAAGGTAAAAATGTGTTATTGATGTTTATCTTTTTCACCGTATGTCTCTAAGTTAAAAAAAAACCATTCTCTTAAAAAAATGTATTATTACTGCTTATCGCTTATGTGTCTTGGATCCAACTGGTAACGGTGGTGGGAAAGGAGGCAAGAAGCATAGCAAAATTCCTGATGCAAATGCGCAACACCCTGAAAATATTGAAAGTAGGAATGCCCCCCCTTTTTTTAAAACAATAAAAATCATTTCAACGAAAATTTGACTAACTGGTACACAATACAAGAAAATTTATTTCACCGTCTCTTGCGTCATGATAGAAACCATCGAAAAAACAAGTTTTAGACATTCGCGAAAGAGGACTACCAGCTCACTCTTTTACGGAATTGCCCTTTTTGAGGAACCGTTGTTATGGTTATGGGCCTTATGAACTGGGCCCAATATCCACGCGGCCATACGGCCCGAAGCCCAGGCCCATTTCGCAGGCAGCCACACCTATTGCTCCCCCTCCGCAGTATTTAAGCTTCACCCCCTCCAACCCTAGCGCCCCCATTCCTCAGGTTTCCCCTCGCCGACGCCTCCATCGCCCTCCGGGCTCCGCCTCCGCCGCCGCCGCCATGGGGAGAAGTAAGCTCGCTCGCTCGCTCGATCTCTCACATCCCTTCATCATCTCTCCCTCTCCCTCTCTCGCTCGCTCGCTCGTACGGTTGCTCTCTCTTCGATCGGCTGCGCGGTGTCTTGGCTCGGCTCTGCGCTAGGGTTTCGCTCCGGTGAACTAGGTCCGTGTCTTAGATCCCGTGGCGCGCGCGCCTCCTCGGTGCGAGATTTGCGAAATTCGGTCGGGGTAATCGAGCGGATTGTAGGATTTGTTTCTCGTGGTGGTGTTGACTCGGTGGGCGGTTTGACTTTTCTTGTTTTCGTGAATGTTATAAGGCGAGTAATCGGGAAATCTCCGGGTTTGTTCAGTTTAGCATGTTAAATTTGGTCTATAATCGGTTATGTAGGGCGTGTAAGAGCTGCAGGATCAGCAATATACATGTATAGGATTGCTTTCTTAGAAGATATGTTTGGTGGCGTGTGATTTGTTGCGCCATGTAATGCATAAACTTGTTAGGTTAGTATTGGTCGTTGTTGGGATGCCACAGTATCTTGTAATTTTGGCAATCTGTTGTGGTGCTACATGTCCTAGTATTGTAGATTTACATCTGACAAACTAGATATAAATGGTTTCTGTTGAATTTTGTTTATGGCATACGTTCATGTAGTTTGATTGTCATTCTGTGGCTTATATTACGGTACATCATGTGTATACTTTTCATTTACGGTGTATTCCCATTCCTAAGAATGTTTCATGTTGTGAATCACCCTCAATCTCAAAATTATGATGAGATATGGACTAACTAGGATTTTTATTATCTATTAGTGATACACATATGTGCTATTTAGGGTTTAATCTTTTTGGTACTATCTTTGAAGCTTAATTTGCATCATTGACTCCATACTTAATGTAATCTGCTGAGAATCTGTCTCGAACATCACATGTTTCTTTCTTGTTTTTGCTATTGTCAAGATTGTTTTGTTGTCTTTGCTACCTTTGTATGTATTTCAAATTATAATGCAATCATTGTCATGTATGCATATATGCCTGGTTATGATGTATGATGCAGATACACATTTTACTTGAGCTTTTTTGGCCAATTTGTTGAATTTCACTTTTCTTTTTGATTCTGTACTCATGATTTCCTCAGCTAGAAACATTGCCTTGTTCAGATTATACTGAGATACTTAATATCTTTCATTTTCATCTTTGGATGCTGGTCACTAGTTTAGACCTATTATCTTGTTAATTAGAGTTTGTATACTTGAATGAACCACATGTGAGTTGTGTTATTCTAACTTGTGCACTGCTGTTCTCTTACCAGGGCCTGCTAGGTGCTACCGCCAGATCAAGAACAAGCCGTACCCCAAGTCAAGGTACTGCCGTGGTGTCCCTGACCCCAAGATCAGGATCTATGATGTTGGCATGAAGAAGAAGGGCGTGGATGAGTTCCCCTACTGTGTGCACTTGGTGAGTTGGGAGAAGGAGAATGTCTCCAGTGAAGCTCTTGAGGCTGCCCGCATTGCTTGCAACAAGTACATGACCAAGAATGCAGGAAAGGATGCCTTCCACCTAAGGGTCAGGGTCCACCCGTTCCATGTCCTTCGTATCAACAAGATGCTCTCGTGTGCTGGGGCTGATAGGCTCCAAACTGGAATGAGGGGTGCTTTTGGGAAGCCTCAGGGTACCTGTGCTCGCGTGGACATTGGTCAGGTTCTTCTTTCTGTTCGTTGCAAGGAGAGCAATGCTAAACATGCTGAAGAGGCACTCCGCCGTGCCAAGTTCAAGTTCCCTGGCCGGCAAAAGATCATCCACAGCAGGAAGTGGTATGTGCAGCTGTTGAACCTGATGTTAATTGCCTTTTTGAAATTCTGGATTAAGATTTTTGTTGAGGCATTTTTTTTGGACTCTTTGCAGGGGCTTCACCAAGTTCACCCGTGAGGAGTACGTCAAGTTGAAGGCTGAGGGCAGAATTATGTCTGATGGTGTCAATGCTCAGGTAAAAAAATATTTATGAGTGGATTCATTTGTACTTTGGTTGTTGGTTTAGTTACATGTTACTGCTGTTTATATCAGTTCCCTCATTAGTTTTGTACCATTCTGTGCCAGCCACAATATACAGTAGAATTTGGACTACCTTCCTATGATGGTCAATGATTCAATTGTTTTTTTATATCTTATTGTCAGTTGATAATGTCAATAGATATCACGTCCTAATATTGTTTCTTTCGGCTTTTGTCCAGCTGCTTGGTTCTCATGGTCGTCTTGCGAAGCGTGCCCCTGGGAAGGCGTTTCTGGCTGAGACCATTCAAGCTTCCGCCTAGATGCCTCTTGCTGAATGGAACTTGAGAGATTTTGCTTTAGCTAGTCTAATTTTGCATGCTAGAACTCATGTTTTAAGAATTGGTTGTCTTCAGGATGATCTATTTTTCTGTAATAGTTCCTTCTGTAGGCCAGCTTGATATGGAGGTTTTGCATATCATCAGTACCTTGTTTGAATTTTTGCTACATATCGTTATCCCAAAGCTATATCTCAGTTGGATTGTGAAGCTTTATTAATTCATAAACTCGCCTGCGTCTTTACATCTCATAATGTAGTGATATGCCCATTTTGGTTCGTTTGTCTCGTTTATTAATTGTGCATTTTCTATTGATTATTTTATGTCTTACATTCAAGTTGATTTGCATTTTCACATACGTACATACTCGTAGAACTTATTGGATATACCGTTGCTTGAATACTGATTCTTAATTCCATTCATCCTTTGTCTAGTCGATTAGTAGTACAAAAAATTACTACCTGAGTCTGAGTGAGTATTGCAATTTGTACGGCGAGAAGAGCAACTTGCCTGTAACCTGCCTGTTAAAAGGTTTGCAAACTTAGTCGCGCGAGTTGCCGTCGTGCATGCCATTGCAAACTTAGTCGCGAGTTGCCGTCGTGTGCATGCCATTATGGATACATTAATTTGCTGCAGTAAAATTAGCCATATTATGGATACATTAATTTGCTGCCTGCCATTATGGATACATTAATATGCTGCCTGGAAGTAAAATTTGCCATTATGGATACGTTAATTTGCTGCTTGGAAGTAAAATTAGGCATGTGCATTGTTGATGTTTCCTTTACACAAACAAATTGTCTATCCTTAGTTAAAATTTTTATCCAGATGTTTTCTTAACTCAGAGAAATGGCACCTTGATTTGACTAATATATTTCGTGATGTTTCTTTATACAAACTTTCATGACTAGTAATGCTAGTTCCGATTGTAGGCATGTATTGCATACCAAGGTCCTGTTAGGCATGTGCCATGTGTGCAGACCAAAACTTCAATTGAGTTTAACAATCCTCTATATATGTTAGGCATGTGCCATGCGTGCAGACCAAAGCTTCAATTGAGTTTAACAATCCTCTATATATTGAGGTGTTCTCTTTAGAAAAAAAACATTTTACTGCTATATTTGCATATGGCAAGAAGCCAAGAACTGTCACCACTCACCAGTCGTTAATGTGACCTTTGTTTTTTCCCCTGATGTCTTCCTTACAGAAACAAATTGTCTGCCTGCCCTTAGTTATGCTCATGATTATACTTCTTAAATTAGTTTGTTGGTTGCTTCAATTTAGCTCCATATAAGATAAATTATCAGCTCTTTCCCTGTAGAGAAAATGGAAATATTCGTTTTTTTTTTCATTCAATTTTACCCTGCTCATATAGTTGCCAAAATTTTGGCAACTTGACAAAATTTTGGCAGGATTTCTTATATAATTACTAAAATTTGACAGCAAACTAAATGTAGCCACTTTTTTTGGCAACTTTACCAAAATTTGATAAGGTTGAAAATGACATTAAAGTGAACAGGCCCGATATGTGAGGGGGTCCATGAGTGCTTTCATTGGAACCAGGACTTGCATTTCACCTCCTCAGGTTCACAAGTCCAGGCAAAGTTCCTTCTGAAATGTTGCCAGCCACTCTCATTTCAAGACATACTTATTCAAATCTGTTTGAAAGAACTACAGTATTTATTTACTCTACTTCCTCTTCTATTTTCCCTGAATTGCATAAATAATTTGAGATGTTACAACAATCTCTGAATCTGAAGCACATTACACATCTCTGAAAAATTCCTGGTGACCCAGCTTTCTTGCTCTCTCTGGAGGCTGAAGCTTACTCTGTTTTGCTTCACTCCTGATTTTTCTTTTGAAGCAATGTGATGGGATAATCGAAGCAAACCTGACCGTTCTCCAAGCGTTCTTGCAATGCCATCATCATCATCATTCAGGTTTGCAGTAAGCATGCATACAATATACATACATCCAGCCTGTCTGTCCATCCATTCATTCATTCCTTCAACTCTGAACTTCACTTCACTTCACTTCCGAATTCCTGCACTGATGCTCTCTGCAAGCCTGCATTTTTCGCTCTACTGAATTCAATCCCCTGCTGGCTGCTGCCTGCTTTAAATTCCCCATCCCATGTTTTCCCGGCTATCATTGCAGCCTTGATTTGTGCCCATGCATAATGGCATAATGCCATCACCAACACGGATCTTGAAATCTGATCTGATCTAGAGAAAGAAAAGGGGAGAGGATAGGTTTGTGGGGGCAAGAGTGTGCAGACTGCAGTGCAAGGCTGCCATGAAACAGGGAAAGAATTGCCATGGATGGGGTCAGTGAGTCAAGCCGGCCATGATCGGTTAGCTTGGTGAGGTGAGGTGACCTTCATTTTTCTCTTCTTCCATCCCCGGGCAAACGAGAGGGAGCAGAGGTGCGCCTTTGGGGAAAGAGGGACAGTAGATTTGCACGGGGCAAAAGCTCCCCCCCCCTCCCTCGGGGTTCTTTGGCAGCCATGGGTGGGGTTGCGAAGGCGATGATGGTCGCGGGCGGTCGTGATCGTGGTGGTGGTGGTGGTAAATTGGTAATGGCTACAATATTGGCCACCGTAAGGTTGTTGTCTAGAATAGAATATATGGTGCGTCCAAGTTGTGAAATATGATTATGGTTTAATATGATGTAATTCTGTTATGAATGGATTAACGAACAAAACGTCGATGATTTTATAACTGATACGTGCTCATAAGTACTAGCCTGATTTTTCATGCTTATGATTTTTTTTCTAAGCTAACCTTGCATTGTACTACCTCCCTCCTATAATATTTTGGCTATAAGTCTGAACATATTTATATTCAACTATAGATCCATAAGTTATTATACTTTGGAACGGAGATAGTATGGAATTTAAATAACTCGAGCCTTCTCAAGCCATGAAAATAAATACTCGCAATGTTCGGTGAAACTATTTGACTGTGCAATAGAAAACCTTGTGAGGATGGTGCTGGCCCTAGAATGCCTTTTCTGTCTGCATGGGGCTGCCCCTGGGCTACCCTCTACACTGGATTTAAACAACCTCATGATGCCAACATTGCCTTTAATCTTTCTCTTTTCCCCTGTATGTCTGGTGGGTCCCCCTTGGCTGTTCCATACCTTGATGCCTCAAGACACATCACAGGTTCAATTCTGCTTAGCTCTCACATGCCGGAGCTAGCTGCTAAGCTGCAGTGGATTCTGATGGAATTGAATCGTTCAGTTAGAAATTCAGAAGTTTATTATATGCACTGTTGCTGAGGTGCAGCCTTGCAGGTCCTCCTGTGTATGGGTGTATCAACCTTAGAATTTGTAGCTGGATTTATAACTTCTTGGCTGCATGTGTGTTGCTCCTATTTGAGTTTTTGATGCCATCTTTTCGGCTATATTGTATATAGCAATTGTTCTTGATAAAACTTTGAGCTTCATTTTGTAATAGCCACAAGAAATTAAGTATTTTTTTCTCTTAATTAAGAAGAAATGCACCAGTACCACTCAATGATAAATAGGATTCAAGATTGATGGAGATCTACGTACACTGCATATGTTCAAATGTTCAATGCACAACGAAATTGCACAAGGAGTATTTTCATTACTCTGAGTTCTTATTGAGCATGTTTATGAGTACCTGTCTTGTGCCTAAATTAGTGAATTAGGACGCCAAACATGTGCTCGATTCAAAAGAAGAGGCAGAGCATAGTCCTCGGCATATATGGTACAACCAGGGATGAAATGGATCATTAGCTACCAATTGATCCATATATTGTTCAAATAATTAAAGTAAGAGTAAAATCACTACTGCACAACCCATCTTTAATGCCGGTTCATAACCCCTAGTGAAATAACCGGGATTAAAAATCTATTTTTAAGTCCCGGTTGGTGTTACAAATCGGGACTACAAATGAAGCCAGGGTAGGTCCGATTGGTAGTTTTTTTTTCTTTTTTTCATTGTTTTTAACTTTGAATATTGATTTCACTACATCCCCAAATTATCTCCAAATCATGAAATCCCCAAATTGATCATCACAGAACAAAAGGAATCATCTCCAAATCCCCAAATCGATCATATCTAAATACATCACAAATTCTTAAAAAAATTACATCACAAATTCTAAAAAAAAAATCACATATTCACATCACACACAGATCAAATACATCACAAATCCTTAAAAAAAAATCTTCCTCCTGTCTGGCCACCGTTGCTCCTCCGCCGCCGCCCCTCCCGCCGAATCTGGCGGAGGGGAGGGCGAGGCCACTGCCTCCCTAGCCCGGCCGCCTGCCTTCCCGACTCCGATGTGCGCAGGCCGCCGTGGCCCTCCACCGGCCTCGCTTGCTCCTTGATCTGCAGCAAAAGGAAGAAGGAGAGGATAAGATCGGCACAAGAGAGAGAAGAGAAAAATTAAAGAAAAGGATAAGAGAGAGAGAGAGAGAGAGCAGGAATAGGAAGATGAGGAGTTTGGGAGGATAAGTCCAAGGGATTATATACGGTACATTGATTTTTAGTACTGGTTGGTGGGACTAAAATCTTTAGTCCCGATTGGTAACACCAACCGGGACTAAAGATCACCGCCCCCCTGACAGCCTCTGATAGTAAATGAATCGGGACTAAAGATCATCCAGTGCTGATAGAGTTTTAAACCGGGACAAAAACCATCTTTAGTCTCGGTTTCTATTCAAACTAAGACTATTGTGGTTTTTGGCCAATCCAGTAAAGATGGTTTCTCCATAGTGAATGTACCATTGTACTGTAACTTGTAAGATGAGTATAATTTAGTTGCTTGTTTTTGTAGTAAATTGTTTAAGTGAGTCATTCACTTTATTTTAAGGTGCAAAGAAATGTGTTACATAAACTTGGCGTTTGTCAAACATGGTGTGTTTGTGAGCCGCACGACAATCTTGTGTTTTCTCAATTGAGCATTTTTCTTTATTTTTTTATTCATAGTGTAAAAAATGCGTTTTAAGTACAACTAGAGTACTTTAGTGGTACCCCTCAATATTATAATATAGTTACCGACGTTCAAAATTTATCCAAAAATATACAATTTTTCTATCTGTGTCTCATCTCAACTAATTATAACCATCTCTCATTTAATTCCTTCATCCACTTTATCATTTCAACCAATCACACAATTATCCTCTATTTAGTTTCACCTCTTCTTAATACCAATAAAAAACCCTGAAGTGCTTATACTCCCTCCGTTTTTTAATAGAGGATGACGTTGACCTTTAAATACATGTTTAACTAATCGTCTTATTA